CCATTAATGGAATTAAAAGCAACAACGGGAGATGAGACATGAGACTTCCCAGGAGAGAGGAGCGTGGTATAAAATTAGAGGAAGACCTAGGATTGAGTCCTGAGACATATTTTTTATTTTAACTTTTTACTTTGACATAACTTCAGACTTACATAAAAGTGTCAGGACTACTAAAATATTTCCCACATACTCTTCACCTAGATTTCCCAAATGTCAATATTTTACCACATTTTAATTATTTTCTCTTTATATGCATATATACATATTTTTTCTGAACCATTTGAGAGTAAGTTGCAGACATAATGCTCCTTTATCACTAAATACATGTATGCATTTCCTGCGAACAAGGACCTTTTCTTTCATAACCAGACTACAATGATCAAAATCAGGAAATCAACATTGGTGTAATACTTTGAACTAAGCCCTGACCTCCTACCCCAGCTATGTCAATTTCCTCAACACTATCCTTTATAGCAAAAGAAAATCCTGGCTTCCACACTGCATTTCCTTATCCTATCTTTTCAGTTTCTATTAATCTGGCATGGTTCTTCAGTGTTTCTTTGTCTCTGGTGATGTTGCATTTTTGGCAAGTATAGGCCAGTTATTTTGTAAAGGGAATTTTGGTTTGAATTTGTGTGGTTTCCTCATGATTAGATTCAGGTTTTGTATCTCTGCAGGAATGCCCCAGAAACGATGCTGTGTCCCTCTACGAGGGAGGTGCATGTCGTTTGTGTGTGCCATTGTCGGGATATTAGCTTGTATCAATTGGTTGAGGTGGTGCCTGCCAGGCTTCTCCCCTGCAAAGCTGCTGTTTTTCCTGTTGCAATGAATAAGCATAGGCCAACATAGGGGAGGTCAGGTTGAAGAAGAAGAACCAGGAAGAAAGCCTATGAGGGGGCAGCCAGAGAGACAAGAGAAAAACCAGGAGAATAGCTTGGAACCAGGAAGAGGCGCTGTAAGGAGGAAGCAGCCAGGTAGGCATCTTGGGCCAGTGTTACAGAGAGAACAACACAGAAGAGTTGCCCTCTGGGCGCAGCGGCTGCGCAGTGTGGGCAGGGTGGTGGACCTGAAGCTGACTTGGGCAAGTCAGGCATGACAGGGAGGTGAGAATGGGGACAACATGGGAAAATGTCTTTCTCTCTTTTTTTAAATTATTTTTTATATTTTTGGAGACAGTCTCACTTTGTTACCCTCTGTAGAGCTCAGTCACATCTCAGCTCACGGCAACCTCAAACTCTTGGGCTCAAGTGATTCTCTTGCCTCAGTCCCCCAAGTAGCTGGGACTACAGGCCCCTGCCGTAATGCCTGGCTATTTTTTAGAGATGAAGTCTCGCTCTGGTTTAGGCTGGTCTTGAACCTGTGTGCTCAGGCAATCCACCTGCCTTGGCCTCCCAGAGTGTTAGGATTATAGGCATGAGCCACTGCACTCAGGTTTTTTTGTTTTTTTAAATTTTTTTTTTT